AGGCTGATTTCAGAGCGAGCCTGAGAGACGGTGCCCTGGCCCTAGGGCCAGATCAGCTCTCCTACAGGCTGTGGGGTCTTTTTTTTTTTTTTGTGGAACCAGGGATTGAACTCAGGCCCTTGCACTTGCCAGGGAAGCGCTTATTCTACTGAGCCATCTCCCCAGCCCCATGGGTCTTTTTTTTTTAAACACTGGTTCTTGCCATGTTCAGGCTGGCCTTGAACTTGTGGCAATCCTCTTGCCTCAGCCTCTTCAGTGCTGGGTTTTCAGGTATGTGCCACCACCCTATGCGGTCATGAACAGAAAAATGGGGGCCATGGAAGGAAAATGTCAATGAGGCTTTGAGGGGTCAGTGCAAAGGAGCTGTAGCTCTGTCAGGCCTGAGGATGTGCAAGGAGCTGCTTGTGGCCGTCAGGAGCAGGGTTGAGCAAGGCCGCATTCTGGGTTGGCGTGGCTTGCGCCTCCCTCTGAGGAAGCTGCGGCCCGAGGGGGAAGAGGCAGCAGGGACGGGACTTCAGTGACCTCTGCTCAGGCCAGGCTGGCAGTGGTTGGATCCCTTCAGCTAGGATCACAAGCGGAACCGGGGATTGAACTCAGGTCCTTGCACTTGCCAGGGAAGTGCTTATTCCACTGAGCCATCCCCCAGCCCCATGTGCGCTTTTTTCTACAGGTCAGTTCTACATATAAGTACAATGTGTTTGAAAATAACATTAATTCTGAGGCCACAGGGCTGAGCAATCCATTCTTAGTGGCCTCCTCTGAGGTTTGCTGCAAGTGACAACTCTGAAGCCACCTCACTGATGACATTTTCTCCAGCACAAGCTGCGCTCTGCTCTTAGTCCTACATTAAACTTTACAGGAAGTGGGAAGATACAGGCCCGGAAGCTGATGGGTCAGCTTTTCTCCAGGTTTCCAACCCCCGGGGGCTGACTTTCTGAGGTAACATCCGCACGCAGGCTGAAACCATGTTCTCAGGAAGTGGATCCTGTTTAACCTGTGGGGAGACTGTTGGCTGCTTAGGAGGTGCAGGTCCATTTTTGCTGCAAGAGACCCCCACACTCAGAAGGATGGAGGCAGATCTGAAGCTGGGATGCTCAACTCGGCACACGTTACCTCTTGCTTCTTTCCCTCCTTGTAACATCATCTGAATTGCCACCTATGGGGTGGCTGAGGTGTGAGGATCAAACTGGAATCCAGCCTGGGCAAAGCCCTGTCTCAAAGGAAACGGGCCAGGGATGTGGCTAAGTGGTAGAGCACTTGCTTAGCATGCACGAGGCCCATGGTGTCCTCCTCAGTGTCTGCTCCTGGGAGTTTTGTCCTCCCAGAGTTCTTTCGGGTAGAGTTTTGAGGATGACGGGCCCCTCCCGCCCCATTTCCCAAGGGCTGCCTTGTGAACCAAAGCCAATTTCTTCCCCCCAGCTGTCCTGGCTCGCCTGCCCAGTGTTGGCATCCTGCAGGACAGTTAGGTGGGCCCAGGCTGGCACTGTCCTGCAGGAAGTGTGGACTCTGCAGTGGCAGGGCTAGCAAGTACCCAAACGTCCACCAAGCTGCAGCCACTGTGCTGTGCCCACTACGGTGGCTATGGATCCCTTAGAGTAATGCGCCACTCGATGACCTGCCAAGGGTTCCTGGTCATCTCAGGTGCGGACACAGACAGTGCTACTGGGCAGACGCACAGCTGGCTTGGCCCAGAGCCACATCCCAGTGACTGCAGGGTTTTTTGTGCAAACTCCGGGCAGCCGAACAGGAAGTCCAGGGTCTGGGAAGAGACAGCGTGTGGCTGAGGTGCTTTCACCTGTGACTCTGATAGCTGTCAGGAAACTAACAGTAAAAGATGACACAGTGGGAGAAAAAAATGTTTGTAAATCAGCATAGATGATTTTTAAAAATTATAGAAGCAGAAATCATTTTCAGAAATGGGCAAAGTATTTGAACAGACTTCCTCCGAGAATACACTGGTGACCACCAAGCACCTGAAAAATGCCGAACACCAGGGGTCCTTAGAAACGCAAATCAGGGGCCCTGGCCCTAGCTCAGTTCTTTAAGTGGCTGCTTCCACAAACCTGTCAGCCTCAGATTGCTGTAGTTCGATCCCCACAACACTCCAGCTAGCCAAAAGTGCCCTGAAGACATTTGAGGAGAAAAAAAAAAAAGAAAGAAAGAAGAAAAGAAACGCAAATCATCACCTGTGAAGGGAGGATCCTCAGCCAGGTGGGCCAGGACACAGGTGGGGCACATCTGTCACCCTATCCCTGTGGGGCTGAGGTCAGCCTTGGTCAAAGTGAGAACAGGCTGGGGTGAGGCTCAGTGGTAGAGAAAGAGCTGAGCACGGGCAAAGCCCTGGGTTAGATCTCCCGTTCTGTACAGGAAAAAGGCAAGACCCTAGAAGGGAGCAGGTGCTGCTGAGCGCGTGCTGACCCCTGAGAGTCAGCAGGAGGCAGTGTGGGAAGCCACCGTGGAAACCTGCGCTGCCGTGCTCCGAAAGGTGAGTGGACTGTGGACTCCCACACCCTCGTCTGCGTCTGCAGAGAGCGTGAGACGGTGGACAGTGGCACAGGTGCATGTGCACTTGTGTTCGCAGAAGCGCGGCCCCCACCAGCTGCCAAGGGGCAGCAGCCAAAGTGTCCATCTGAGAACATGGAGCCACACAGAAGGGACTGGAGACACGTGGCAGGGCCACGCTTTCATGCGCCCTGGGGTGACTCCCCGGTGCTGGGCATGGTTGCCACATAGGAGGGCAGATGTTGTGTGGCTCAGCTTTCACAGCACACCTAGAGCAGGGATGGTGGCTGTGGCCCCTGTTCTGTAGGGATCAGGTTCCCATCAGGATGGTAGGACACTTTGGGACACACCTTGTGCAGGTGTCCCCTACATTGAGAGTGTGCACAGCCCTCGACATGGTTAAATGGTGAACTTTTTGTTTTGTTTTGAGACAGGGTTTCCACTATGTAGCCCAGGCTGGCCTTGAGCAAACTCATGGAAATCCTCCTGCCTCAGCCTCTGAATGGTGGGATTACAGGTGTGCACTAGCACACACCAGCTTAACAGTGAATTTTGTGTTGTGCATGGCTTATGCATAGCCAATCCCAAGGGTGCCGGTGCCTTGGACCTGCACTAGAGCCTGTATCTGTGTGAGAACAGCATTCACGGGAGCCAGCAGCTCCAACGGACACATGGTAGTGAGGGGTGGACACCCTTTGATGGTCTGGTGGGGTCAAGTGTGGCACTGTTCCCCAAATTTAGAAGGGTGGCCTTTGGGGGAGGCGTGGCTTGGGGCCACCGCCTTCCCCACAGTGCAGATCCAGGGCCCTTGCCCCACTGGCCTGCAGACACAAGTGCCTGGCCAGCTCACCTCAGAGCTGCAGAGAGGCCCCAAGCTCGGTTTCTTTTGTATTTTTGTTTGTACCAGGAGTAAAACTCATGACCTTGCTTGCCAGGCAGGCACTGTGCCACTGGGCTATATCCCTGGCCCCCCAAGCTCTGATCCTGCAGCAGGGTGAATTGGCCTGGTTCACCAGCCCTTGGAGGCTCTGCCCCAGGGATCCTGGGTGCACCCTGAGGTTACCAGGGGCTTCAGTGAGGGGTGGGGAGGGGCTGCCGAGTTCCGCTGCAGCCCCATGGCTTGCGATCCCCACTGTTGATGGAGTGGGTGCTGTGGCAGGAATGCGGGTGTCACACATTGGTCTCAGGCTGACAACATCCTTTTTGTGTGTGTGTGTGTGTGTGTGTGTGTGTGTGTGTGTGTGTGTGTGTATTTTAGGGAAGGGTCTACAGGGTGTTCAGGATCTCACTACTAGATCAGACTCGTAGTGATCCACAAGAGCTGGGATTACAGGCGTGCGCCACCACCCGACCACATCCTTGATGCTGTCACGTCCACACACTGGGACCATGGCTGGGGATAGTGTGGGGCCAGGGCCAGTCCTCCCCTCAGCCTCAGCCGCAGCCCCAGGTGGGCCGGGCTGGCTAGGTATGGTTTCCAGTCAGGTGTCCCCTTCTTCCACACCTGCAGGGACCAGCTCTTGCAAGACAGCAAACTCTGAGATGCACACAGCCCCACCGTGCTGAGTTGGCTGTAGGCTCCCTGGCTGGTCTCCCAAGTCTTGGCCCACACCCCAAGGGAACTACATGTCAATGGCCCCAGCCCCTGCTGTCCTTTGGAAAAACCTGATGTCCCCTTCTTTGAGCCACAGGCATTCTGCAGGGCCCTCCCTCCTTCAGTGACCCTGGGCAGCCATGTTCTCTTCTTCCCTGGCCCCAGGCCCTGGTCACAGGGCTGGCAGTGAAGCCAGGACAAGAATGGGCTGAGGGCAGAGCAGCTACTTCTGGGCTGTGTAGTGTCAGTGACATCCAGGTCAGGCTAGTGGTGGCCCCAGGAGCCAGGTGAGCTGACGGCTCTCCCAGCCAAGGAAGAGCCCAGGATCTAGTGGGGAGGGTGCGGTCTGAAATCTCAGGGACCTTGGTTCCTTTGAAGGCTCCCTGAGCATTCCAGGATTCTACGGTTTCCATGGTGACGGTTTCTATGGGACACGGCTAGTGCCTAGGAACCTGCAGTTTTGGAGAGAACTAGTGAGAGGAGCACTTCTGCCGGGCTTCTGCTCTGGTGCGGTTCAAGGCTGGCCCCACCCAGACTATCACGTGAGGCAACCCTTGGTCACATGACCCGACGCACGTGATCACTAGTGCTGGTCTCTGAGCTAGACATGTGTGCCCAGCGTGGGGACGTAGTGTGCCCCTTTGTCCTGCTGCTGGGCCTGGCGCTGTGCGGCCTCGGGAGCCCCAAGCCCGCCGGCAGCCCGCCCGCCCAGTTTTGTGCCGACCCTGGGTTCCAGGAGTACTACTTTGAGCAACTCCTGGATCACTTCAACTTCGAGAGCTTTGGCAACAAGACTTTCAGCCAGCGGTTCCTGGTTTCAGGTGGGCTGCGTCTGGGTCCCGTAGCTCTAGATCCTGTCCCCACGTCCCTGGCTCTGGCCTCACCTTGCCTCCCACAGACAAGTTCTGGAAGCAGCCCGAGGGCCCGATCTTCTTCTACACGGGGAACGAAGGCGACATATGGGGTTTCGCCAACAACTCTGGCTTCCTAGTCGAGCTGGCGCAGCAACAGGAGGCCCTGCTTGTTTTTGCAGAACATGTGGGTACTGGGCCATCCTGGGGTCCGGGGCCTGGGGCCTGGCGGCGGGGGGCCAGATGATAGGGGCCCAGCGACAGGCACAGGCTCAGCTGTCCCCCTGCATGCAGCGGTACTACGGGCAGTCGCTTCCGTTTGGTGCGCAGTCCACACAGCGCGGGTACATGCAGCTGCTGACCGTGGAGCAGGCGCTGGCTGACTTCGCCGTGCTGCTGCAAGCCCTGCGGAGGGACCTTGGTGCCCAGGATGCCCCAGCCATTGCCTTTGGAGGGAGGTGGGTCCGTGGTTCCCCTGGCGTCAGAGGGGTGCTCAGCTTTGGGCTTTTTCCTCTCTGACTTCCCTTGGGGCTCCAGGCCACATCTGTGACCTCCAAGGCAGGAAAGGGGAAGCGGGTCCCAGGACCCTCAGCCCTGCCCAGGTTGGGTTGCCAGCCTCAGGGGCCCCTTCCCTTGGGCAGCTACGGCGGGATGCTCAGCGCCTACATGAGGATGAAGTACCCCCACCTAGTGGCAGGTGCGCTGGCGGCCAGTGCACCCATCGTAGCTGTCGCAGGCCTTGGCGACTCCTACCAGTTCTTCCGGGACGTCACAGTGGTGAGTGGCGATCTGGGGGTGCCCCCGGCCAGTCCAGCTGTGAAATACAGCAGCTGCCGTATCCTCTCCAGGACTTCTACAACCAGAGCCCCAAGTGTGCCCAGGCTGTGCGCGATGCCTTCCAGCAGATCAAGGACCTGTTTCTGCAGGGAGGTGAGCAGAGCTACTACCCTCACCTGCTGCCCCACCTGCCCCTGCTTCTACTTCTGCTCCTCTCCTGCTCCTCTCCTGCAGCCTACGACCAGATTAGCCAGGAGTTTGGGACCTGTCAGTCACTCTCGGGCCCAGGGGACCTGACGCAGCTCTTCATGTTTGCTCGCAACGCCTTCACCGTGCTGGCCATGATGGACTACCCATACCCAACCGACTTCTTGGCCCATCTGCCCGCCAACCCTGTGAAGGTAAGTTCCGTGCCTGGGGAGGCTGCCAACAGCCCCAGCCCTCCTCTGGGGGTCAGCAAGCGTGGAGCTGGCAGAGCCTCAAGTGAGGCATGCTGCCGTCCCTCCAACCAGGTTGGCTGTGACCAGCTGCTGAGCGAGGCCCAGAGGATCACAGGACTTCGAGTGCTGGCAGGTGCGCCAGCTGTGTGTGGGGCTCGTGTGGGGCACCGGCACTGCCCTGGCCTGGGCTTTGTGCTCTTCTAGTTCTGCTCCCTGCTACTTGGGCAGGGGCTGGGCAGGCAGGGATGGAGTGTGGCAGGGCATGAGGTCCCACGGGGCTTCCCTGGCTGCCAGCCATCGCTGATGGCAGAGCCCACCCCCTGCAGGCTCTTCTGAGGGGGAGCAGGGTAGTGGCTGCTGTCCCACACCCCTCCTCCCCAGGGCTGGTCTATAACGCCTCTGGCACCGAGCACTGCTACGACATCTACCAGCTATTCCACAGCTGCGCTGACCCCACTGGCTGTGGCACTGGCTCTGATGCCCAGGCCTGGGACTACCAGGTATTTGGGCTTGGGTGATCTGGGCTGGTAAGGTAGGGGGTAGCGTGCTGTTGCTTGACCTCACGTGGCACCCCCAGGCTTGCACCGAGATCAACCTGACGTTCAACAGCAACAATGTGACTGACATGTTCCCTGTCCTCCTGTTCACCGAGGAGGTCCGCCAGCAGTACTGCTTGGACACGTGGGGAGTGTGGCCCCGGCCCGGCTGGCTGCAGGCCAGCTTTGGGGGCAGCGGTAAGGTCCGGGCCAGCCTTGCCCTACTCAGCTCTAGATGAGTATCGGCCCCTCACTGTCCTTGCTGTGTCCCTTTAGACCTCAAGGCTGTCAGCAACATCATCTTCTCCAATGGTGACCTGGACCCCTGGGCTGGTGGTGGGGTGAGTCTCAGCTGGGGTCCCCACCGCCAGCCTCCCTCAAGAACCCGTCTTACCTCCTTGTGCTGAGCTCTCTGGTCTCCCCTCCCACTTTCTGTTGTGTACTGTGGCTCATGTCTGGCCCTATGACCTTTCCTTTCCTCTGGGACTTCTGAGGCTTCAACTGCCCCGAGTCGCTGCTTTTGCACTAGTGGGCCCCGCCTGATGGCAGGCCCGCCTGCTGCCCACAGATACACAGTAATCTTAGCGAGTCTGTGGTCGCAGTCACCATCAAGGGAGGAGCCCACCACCTGGACCTCAGGTCAGTGCAGCAGCCGGTCCCCAGCCGGGAGGGGGCAGGCTGGGCGGGCCTGAGGGGCTCACGTCTCAGGCCCCATGCCCAGTGGACCTCTGCTGCTCACAGAGCGTCTCACACGGAGGACCCTGTGTCGGTCGTGGAAGTGCGCAAGCTGGAGGCGAGCCTCATCGGGGAGTGGGTAAAGGCAGCGAGGGGTCAGCAGGAGCAGCTGCCCCCCAGCCCAGGCCAGCAGGACTGAGGGGACCCAGGGGCTCCCTGTGGATCACAGAGACCAACTCAGTGCGGGGCCTCTGGAGGCCCTACAAGGGCAGGTGGCTGGGTGGACACGTGGGGCCAGGCTAGGCACACCCTTCCTGCCCTTTCAAGGCCCCAAGGTGGGAGCAGACACTGCACATACCTGCTGGACCAATAAACGTTTAATAAAGCACAGACTCCTCAGTGCTGAGGTCGGTATCTGCGTGATGACAGTGCCGTGCACAGGGGCACCGCGGCCACCCCGTGCTGAGCACTGGCGCCCTGCGCAGCAGGAGTGCTCCAGCTAGCCCCCAGCCTCAGCCCGCCCTGCCCTCACAGCACGCGGGTGGGAGAGGCGGACCACCAGAGGAACATGGGTCCTTGGCTGCCCACCTGCAGCCTGGCCCAGGAGGGCTCGGCATAGCCACTCTGTGCGGGAAGGGCCAGTGCTTCCTGGAGTCTCCAAGAAGCCTGGGGGCACCTGCTGTCCCGGGAGTAACCGGGCTGCCACCAAGACACCAAGCTGTAGGTAGCTGGAGGACAGGTCCTGCCCCGCCCACCTTGGAACCTGCCTGGAGGGGCCTGTCACACAGCAGCCCTGTCCAGGCCCGGCCCTGTGTGGCCTACGCTCTGGCTTTCTAGGGAGAGGGACCTCCCCACTCACAGGCTTCTTGGGTCACGTGGGACTAGGGTATGCTGGGGGGGGGGGCGCCCCAGCCTGGAGGTGGGGGCAGTGCTGCCCCAGACGTGATACCCAGGAAGAGGAGGACCACACGAAGGCACAAAGACCCCACTCCAGGCGGGTGCTGCCCAGGGCGAGGGGCCTCCTCCGCAGTAGGAAGCAGCCCTGAGAGCTGCGGGCCCAGGGACTCCACAGGCCTCTTCCCGCCTGCACTGAGCCCTCACTTCCCAGGCACACTCACAGCAGTGTGCTGCCCTTACCCAGCAGGGAAGTTTCACCCCAGCTGGCAGCCTGGGCCCTGCAGAGTAGCCAAGAGGATCCCTGAGTCCAACATGTAAACAGCACAGCAGGCCGCGGCGGCCTGACCCTCCAGGCAGAACACCCTGCGCTTGCTCACTCGGCAGAGGCTCGGCTGCCCCACAGACTGCCACTTGGCTCCTCACAGAGCGCATGAGGCTGAAGCAGCCCAGGGCCCAGCACATGGCTCCCAGCAACAGGTGACAGACGATGTACGGGTGTCGGGACTGAGGATTCGAGTGTTGTCGAGGATGAAGCCAGAGGCTCCCGTGGACTGGTCACCCTGAACCTGGTGCCTGCTGACCCAGGCAGAGACAATGGCCAGGAACACAGGGACACGCAGCAGCTGCTGCCGCCACCATACAGGGCCTCTGAAAACACCGGAGGCCCTGGAAGGCAGCTGCTTCCCTCCTCGCAGGCGCAGGCCAGGAGCCACCCCTAGGCAGGGCTCCAGATGGGCAGGGGGTGGGCCTCGGTGTTGAACACATAGCGATCCAGGCTGAGCAAGTCTCGATCATCGGAAAACAGCAGGTAGAGGTACTTCAGGGTCTCCCCCAGGAAGAAGCTCTCCATTTTGTCTCTGGGCTCCGGCTTGTGGGTGCTCTGGACATTGTTGATAGAAGAATAGCCACCCGAGCGGACCTACACGAGAGCCTGGGCCTCAGTGTGGCCACCTGCGACAGATGCCACTCCGGGCTCTGGCTCCAACGTAGGCTTGGGCATGCAGTGCCTGGACTGAGGGGTATCCAGGGCCCAGTGCCTCACACCAGTGGGGAGAGGGCAGCTGCTGCTGGAGGAAGCCTCAGGCCCAGGCCAGCATGCAGAGAGCCAGCGACTGGATCAGGGCATGTGTGGTGGTATTGCAGTGAGCGACAGGAATGGACCCGAGTGGGGACTCCTCCCAGAAAGGCACGACCCCCGCCAGCTGTGCACAACTGAGGTACAGCCAGAGGCCCGGCCTGCCTGTGCAGCAGCACCCCAGGGTGCAGCCCACACCCATGATGTGGGACCAACACTTACCCGCGTGTACTTGTTGAAGCTCTGCAGGATCTCCCAGCCCCAGTCCTGGTACTTGCGGTCCCCCGTGACACGGTACAGGTAGAACAGGCTCTCTACGGTCTCGGGGCGCAGCAGGTTGTGCCTGTCAGCTGGCTGGGGGCAGAGGGGATGCTCAGGGCACAATCGAGCTCTCGGGTGCCAGCCCCCCCAAGTGTGGCCCCTAGGTGCACCTTGACTATCACGTCCTTCAGGTTGGGCTGGGAGACGGTGTTGAAGTGGGCGATCTCAGGGCTCAGCCCCGTCTCCATCTGGTGGTTCATCTGGTAGCAGGTCTCCATGAGCGCCAGGGCCAGCTCCATGTGCTCAGTGGGCAGGCCGTGGTGGACACCCAGGGCCAGCGTCCCTGGCAGGAAGCACACCAGATGGTCCTGGAATCAGAGGGGCTCCTCACAACTGGATCCGGGTCTTGATGGCCCGCCCTACAGCCTGCCAGCCCACCCCTGGGGAGAGTATCTCCCACCAGCTGGATAAGGGCCCAGGCCCATCATCTGCCCGGGGGCTCCTGAGCCCCTGCCAGCCATGGCTGCCTTCCAGGCACCCGAAGGAGCCATCCAGGAAGGAGAGCTGGCTCTGGGAGCCCCAATTCTTTCTGCCACGCTGGTGTGTCAGCGGGTCGGCAGCACAAGTCCACCCCACAGCACTCACATCTCTTGGCCCAAGTTCCTTGTTCCTTCTATCATGTGGACCCAGGAGCCCTGGAGGCCACCAAGAAAGGCCCTGCCAGCCCAGCCCAGCCCCCATGACTCACCATCTTGGCGCTGAAGCGGCCGTGCGCAAGCTCCCCAACAAAAGCGAGCTTCCTGGGCTCGGAGCGGCGCAGCAGGTGTGCTCTGATGCCCTGGATGGCTGCGAGGTAGTCGTCCAGCAGCCTGTGGACACCGGCGAGTCAGCTTCTCCCGGCCACGCCAGTGCCCACGCCGAGGGCTGGGCCGCCTGTGCATGCAGACAGATGCCACATGCACGGCCCAGGATGGTCCCTCACCCACGAGGGCACAGTGGGGACACGTGCATACCCAACCTGCACTGCTGCAGGTACTTGACAGGACAGGGGCAGGAGGAGCAGGGGTCTGGCCCACGGGCAGCAGAAGGGGCCTCACTGTGTGTCTGTCTTCCCACCCTGGATCCACTGCTTCAGCAGGTACTCGTAGTAGCTGTCGGCCCTGGCGCCCAGGGTGAACACGCCCAGGTGGGTGAAGAGGCCGCTGTGCGTGTTGATGAACATGGGCACAAGCCCGTCCTTCTTCCCAGACAGCGAGTGGATGTGCCTCGTCACGTTCTCCACGGCCTCCTGCGACAGGGAGCGGTTACTGCAGGGAACCTTCGCAGCAGTCTGCAGAAAGCTGCTGAGTCTGAGGTCAGCACCACTCCTCCCAGAGCCACGTGAGGACCGTGACAAGGGACAACACACCCAGCTGCCTGTGAACACTGAGCAGAGACCTCAATGACGTGCCTGTGCACCGGGCCCTGACTTCCATCCCTGGCCACCCACATGGGACAACTCAAATGACATTCCTCCAGAGAAGAAACAGGTGGTTGATGTCACTGCATTGGGGAAAAGGTGTCAAAACCATCATGAGATGTCACCTCACGCCATGAAGCTGGCTACATGAAAACATAGAAAATAACAAGTACTGATGAAGACAGGCAAGGCTTGGGCTCTGCGAGGGGTGGCTTTGGTGGAAGGCACAACCATGTGGGAAAGCAGGCTGCCCACCACGGAACCAAGAGAACCACCATGTGTCCAGAGCCCAGGGCCCCCTAAGCAGCCATCTGTGCACCTGTCTCCGAGCAGGCTCATTTGCTGCAGGTGAACTGAAAGCAGCCACTAAGGGCGAGGAGCCAAGCATGATGCCCCCAGGCGAGGAGGGCAGGTCAGCACCTCAGCCCACAGCAATGTGGAAAGGGGCCAGGTGCCAAGGACCAGTGCTGCGGAGTCTGTGCTTACAGGGCCCGGCACATCAGTGTCAGAGACACAGCTCTGCAGGTTCATGTCTGAACGGCAAGCACAAGGTCCTGGCTTTGATTTTGGGCCCCCCCAATTTTTTTTTTTTTTTTGTATTTTAGGGAAGGGTCTACAGGGTATCCAGGGTCTCACTACTAGATTGGACTGGTAGTGATCTGCCTGTTTACAGCCTCCCAAGAGCTGGGATTACAGGCACGCGCCACCACACCCAGTCTCCAAAAATATTTTTAAAAAGCCCAGCACATAACTGACAAACAATGGGGCAGAAATGTGGGGCCCAGGAGAGGAATGTGGGGTTCTGTTTAATAGGGACACTCAAGTTTCACACAAGAGAGCTACAGAGATGGCTGGTGGCGACGGGCACAAAGTACTGTAGCGTACTTCATGCCACAGAACCACACAACCAAAAATGCTTATGCTAAATTTTGCATGTGTTTTTTTTTGTTTGTTTTTTTTTGGCGGAACCAGGGATTGAACTCAGACCCTTGCGCTTGCTAGGGAAGCACTTACTCCACTGAGCCATCTCCCCGGCTCCCCCCCCTTTTTTTTTAAAGGTTTTTTTGGGTTTTTTTTTTGGCAGAGCTGGGGATTGAACTCACGCCCTTGCGCTTGCCAGGCAAGTGCTTACTCCACGGAGCCATCTCCCTGGCCCCTGCATGCGCTTTCTTACAGTAAAACCCCCCACAACAAACCAGTAATAACAGAGCCGATTCACACGCGGCAGGCACGCGTTACAGCACGCACTGCACCTGTAACCCGGAGGGTCAGCCCTGCAGGAAGCACGTCCAGCTGGAACATACACCCCACCTGGAACTTCTTAACCCCGGTGAGGCGCGAGAGCTCCCGGAACTCCAGCTGAATGCTCGTCACCTCAGCCACTGTGCTGTCTGAAGTCCACCGGGGAGGGTGTGCAACCCCAGTGCCAATGTTCACGTCAGAGTACGGGATCTTGGAGGGCGTGGAGAAAGCAGGCATCAGCCGGTTTCCGAAGTCTTCCTGGCACAAAAGCACAACAGAGGATCACCGTTCCAGGTCCCCAGGTCCTCTGCCCATTCCCACTTTTGTAAGTGGGCACATGTGGCTCAGCAGACTCCCACGCCCACACGCCGTGAGCGAGCTCTGGGCAGCACCGGGCAGCTCTCCCTGAGGGCGCCATGCGAGGAAACAGTGCTGGGGGCAGGCCCACAGGCGGAAGAAACAGGCGCACTGAGAGAAAGATCTGGAAGAAACACCCTGACGGGCTCCCTCTAAGGCATGGGGCAGGGAGGCCGTGGCCTGTGGAAGATACTCACAGCTTTTCTCAGGAACAGGCTGTCCCCCGACAGGTGGTAGGTGCTCAGCAGGCCCCCCAGAATGCGGATGGTGCTCTCAAACAGGTTGACATCCACGTCTTTCTCAAAGTTGAGCTTCGCTGACACCCACTTCCTGGCTTCTTCAAATTCTGTAACAAAAGTGGGATTCTGGAGCAGACTCATAATCTGTCCCTCTCCTGCACCTTCCATGTTCCTCCTGAGAGAACTGTCCCTGTAGTAACAGAGCCTACTGCACCTGAGGGTGACCCGGAGTTTGTCACCACGCAGGCAGAACAGGAAAACACAGCAGGTAGGCCCATAAGCACTGTGCCGCAGCATCTGAGTACGTCATTGGTGGCCCTCAAGCTATCTATTAATACTACCAATTTTGGAAAGACCAAGGTCCCTGCCCACTTAGCTGAACCGGGAGCCCCGGGAAGACACCCCAGAGACCGGGGCCTCCTGCCCCCTGCAGAACACACTGGAGATGTCCACCATTAGCTTTCCAGGAGGCCAGGGAATGGCCGCTCCATGTGGGCCCTGGATGGCAGGCACCAGGTAGGACCCGAACACAAGGAGCACGCCACTCCCCATTCCCTGGCACAACCCCACGCTGCTCACACCAAGCTCGCCAGTACCTTTCCTCAGACCCAGGATCCACATGGTATCCAGGGCATCGATCAAGGTGAGGCCCAGGCCAAACCACTCGCTGAAGGACCTGGATACGGGCTTCAGCTCGTCATGCCCCCAAGAGAATTTGCGGTATCCTTTCCATGCGTGGAGGAAGGCCTCGATCACCCCTTTCTGGCGCGCATTTGGGGGGCCTGGAGGGCAGAGCACAGGCAGTGAGGACACTGCAGCTTCTGGGGCCCACGAGACATCCTGGTGGGGTCCTTGTGGTCCCAGGGGAGCACAGAGGGAGGGACGTAACTACAGTGTGCGTGTGGAGCAGAGAAGCACGGGGTGCCAAGTAGAGTAGGGGTTCTGGGAACCAAGGGGCCCCAACATGCCAAAGCACTGGGGTTCACCATAGGGTGGGCAGACACAGCCTTTCAGGCCACAAGGACGTCTGGTCTAGGGGAACAGACACTACCCCCCACAATGCAGAACAAAGCAACAAACATGACCCCGGGACTCACGGAGCACCACATGGATGTGGACAGCAAGCGGGTCCTTGGCTGTACACCCATCCTGTCAGCCAGTGCCCCGGGAAGCTCCTCCCTCACACGGTGAGTGGTGCGTCACAGCACATACCTGAGGCCACGGCCACCTGACGTGACTGGTGCCCCGAGCCTGCGGAGGCTGCGGCGGCAGCACAGCAGGTGCCGCTCACGACCAGGACTGGGCTGCTGCCTGGCTAGAGTGGGGCTGTGGAGGCACTCGCACCTCACAGAGCGTGGTGAGAACAGGAGGCCCGTCACACACAGCTGCCACACGAGGACTCCTTGGTGCAGGGACATGCAAAGGGACAGTCCTGTGCCTAAGGACTGAAGGTGCAACCTGGCCCAACACGGAGCAATGAAATGAAACCTGCCGAACCGAGCACAGGCTACAGCAAAGTTCCTGCCTGCCGCGGGCATGCAGATGGTGCCAAGACTGCCACCAGGAGGCCGAGGGGCAAGTGCAACAGGCTGGGATCAGGACTGGGGAGGCAGGCAGCAGGGCTTCCTCACCAAGGTCCTTCTGCATCCTGGCTGCGGGCACGGAGGGCATGGAGGGGGCGGCTGCTCGTCTGGAAGGGTGCTCAGTGCCCTGCTCCGGCTCGATCACTGCTCCCCGCCAGCTGCAGGAGAGTGGAGGGCTGTCAGGCTCTGCCTGCCATGAACCCTAACCCGCGCCCAGCAGATGCCAGCTCTGAAGGTGCCCCAGTCACAGGTGGACAGAGAAACTGGCAAAGTCAGTCAGTCTCGATGGCTCCAGCAAAGTGACTGCCTGTGGAAGGACCCCACCAGGGCTGCTCTGACACAGAGGACCCTGAGGGCAGAGAGCGGAGTGCAAGGAGCACAAGGGCAGCGGTGCTTGGGAGAAAGGCCACCAAGAGAGAAGCAGTGGACCCCCGCAAGGGCTTGCAGGCTGTGTAACTACTCTGTGTACTGCCCCAACCCAACACGGAAGCCCCTCTCGGTCCCTGCTGTGGGTCTGTTCTAGGCCAGTGGACAGGAGGGGCTGAAGCCCCACTGCAGCTAGCCCTGTGGAGGCTGGCCACAGCATCTCTCGGAAAGCCCAAGCTAGCTTGATTCCAGCTGAGACAGATGCATCCTGACTCCACGGGGACCACATCTTGGATGTGTGAGCCCGGTGGCGCGGCGTAAGTGCCCTTGCCTCTGGGGGTCGCCCCTTTCCATCCACAGATAGGGGCTCCCATGCCCTCACCTGGCCTGCCCTGGACACTGCTCAGGAGGGTTCCCAGGGTGGACATGCTGGGAGGCCGTAGGGCCAGGGCCTGACTGCAGGGTGCCCAGCCTATGTCTCAGCCATGACCATTTCCAGTAAACATCAGGCAGGAAATGTGGCTGGTGCCTCTGGCGGCATCAGGGGCATGCTGATCCCTGGGCACTGGACGGGCTGGCAGTTGTCAGCATCTAGCCCGTGGCCTCTGCTTCCCGCCTGGTCAGGGGTGCAGGAGGGAGGGGCTAGCGAGCACTTGTCCATCTGTCAGCCACCTGCCACCTGGGGCAGGCCTGAGCCTCACTCCCACTCTCGGCCCTATACCCACCACATCAAAGCCACCAGGAACAGGGGTCACAGATGGGAATGGCTCCGACCTCTAAGCTTAAAAATGGGACTGGCCTAGCACCCAGGAGGCTAAGGTGGAAAGACTGCCAGGAGCTCAAGTCCACCTTGGGCTGGCCACAGAGTGAGTTCCAGGCCAGTCTGAATGAACTAGAGACCCACCTCAAAAAACCAGAAATGCGTCTGCATAATTAAATCTTAATGAAGACAACTTAACAAAACAGACCCCATGTCCAGGGGAAAGTGCGAAGTGGACCAGATGCAAGCTGCGCATGAAGGCCCTGACGCCGGCCTGTTACTGAGAAGTCAACCCGCTCGCGTGCCCTGCTTGCGGTACCTGATGACTGTCCGCTGTGGAGTCTCTTCCTGGTGAGTGTCCCGCGGGGCAGCCACCTGCTCCTTATCCTCATCCTGTGTCTTGTCCTTGGAGTCTACATCAGGGGCCCTGATTTGCAGACGGGGCGGTCCCCGCCGGATATGCTTCCGAGATTTCTGGACAAAAAAATCAGAGTCATATGTTGCAAGTTCAAGACCAGCCCAGGATACAAAGTGAGTACAAAGCCAGCCTGAACTACATAGTGAGACCCTGTCTCAAAAAGACAAACAACAACATAAAAAAAAAAACTTAAAATAAGAACAGCTCACCTGGGCTGGTGAGATGGCTCAGTGGTCTAAAGCACCTACTTACAACAAGCTTAGCAAAGCACAGGGACCGCGGTTCGATCCCCCAGTACCACATGCCAGCCAGCCCCGCCCCCTGGTGGGCTGAGCTGGCCGGCCACACACACACACACACACACACACATAAATAAATTAATTAATTTAAAAAAAAAAAAACCAAACAAACAACAGCTCACCTGCCTACAGGTGGTGCTTTGTCTTTTTGAGGAAGGGTCTCAGGTTCAGCCTGGCCTCACACTCACTGCAGCTCCAGCTGGTCTTGAACTTACAATGATCCTCCTACCTCAGTCTCCCGGGTGCTGGGATTATGGGCATGAGCCACCATGCCCAGGTAATGTGAGCATGCTTGGCAGACCAAGGACCTAGGCCTGCCACCAGCCAAGGGGTGTCCCACCCTGTCCCCAAGTCATTCCACAGCCGCAGGCCCAAAGCCCCGCCCACAGCTTATCTGTGAGTGGTGACAGAATCCTTAGGACACAAACAGCATGGTACAATGAGAAAAGCCATGCCCCAGACACCCAGCTAGCAGACGTGCCTCGTGGGAAATACTGTCATGTGCAACAGGAACCCACGCAGGCGCCAACCCTCGTGCCACCGTCACTTCAGATGGGGTGCTGTTCTTTCTGCCTGAGAGAGGCTGTCATCTATAGCTTGCCAGATGTTCCGCCCAGGTGACAGGAAGTGCAGAGCACACACACCTGCCTCCAAACACAAGCTAAAACCAGCGTACTGTGTGCTTCAGAGTGGCCCTCAGATGGTCAGCTTCTCCAGGAAAAGTCCTGTGCACAGACTTCATCCAACACATGCTCTGCACCCCACAGCGTCGCAACCCTGTGCACCACATGCCACGGGCTAGGGCTGTCCTGGCCTTTCAAACCCAGACTCTGCCACCATGGGGTTAACCAGACAGGGCCCAGCCACACAGATATCACTTTCCTCAGCAGACCTGTAGCTTCCTCCTGCTTCTCTGCACTTCCTGTCACCTGAGCAGAACATCGGCAATCTGAAGATGACAGCCTCTTTCAGGCAGAAAGAGCAGCACCCCACCTGAAGTGACAGTGGCCTCAAACTCATCAACAGACCCTCTAAGCTTCGACCCCTGGCCTGTGGGAAGAGCCCAAGCCACTCCCAGCTCGGAGCCATCCTGGAGGCAGCTTTCTCCAGCCACGTGCGGCTGCACCCAGGACTTGGCTGCGAGGGGAGCCTTGAGGCCAGGTCAGCTGGGCACGCTTGGGCCACGTGGATGGCACTGATCAATATCCAAGACCTGAGGGTGTGGGGCAGACACTGGGCGAGTCCCTGCTTTTCCCAGCCACCGTCACTTGTACGCTTGCTGCTGGCTCTTCTGCTGCCTCTGTCCCATCTCTGAACTCCAGGCTCCCTACTCCCACACCCCAAATGTCCCAGCCCAGTAGCCCAGGCCAAGGCTGGGCCTTTTCCACTCCTGCGAGACAACACACACCATCTTCTCTGGCAACCCTGGTGCACCTGCCCACAGATGGGCCCCACTGCCTCCCAGGCACCACTAACAGGGCCTAGTAGCATCGCCATGTCACCAGACTCTTCCCTCAGTCCTCACCCTGCCCAGGATCCTCTGTCCACCTGCCATCCCTGTCCCACGAGTGTCCTTCCATCATGCGGGTCTCCAAAGTGTCCACAGCCATGTTTTCCCTGCATCCTGCCCTCCTGAGGCCCCAACACTGCATGCCCACTCACCACGTGGCTTCAAGTCAACACGTATGTCCTCTGGCCGTTTTCTGACACTTCGGGTGACACTTTCTCGATGCTCACACCCCCTCAGACACCTGCTCCCTGACTCAGCCCTGTGGGAATTTCATTTCTGGAAATACAGCTGCTGCTTCTCCTTGCTTGGGGAGTGTCAGGGGCTGAGTCTTGCTCTGCCCATCCTGACCACAGCCGGGATTCTCAGCCTGCCAGAGGCGTCCTCAGAGGGCTGCCCCAGCCTGCAGCTCCTGCTCCTTCCTGTCTCCCAACTCCTGTCCTTTCCAACCACAACCTACGGCTATGCCACCAACCTGATTCTGTGTGCTGCTGGCCTCTCACTGTCTTTCCTCTTAGCTTGCAGCCCCAAGACAAGAGACAGGTCTTCAGCACTATATAGCAGCCATCTAAGACAGGAGCCAGCCACAGTGAGTGTCTAAGTAACACAGGCGACGGTGCCTCTCCTCCCCAGTACTCATGCAGCCAGCCCACCACAAGGGCTTGTGAGGGGAAATATGCAGTATGTGCGGCAGGATAGGAGTTGCGCCTGGCCTGCCCGAAGCAGTACCGCCTACCCTAGAGCGCTCAGACCAGAGCCCAGAGACTCCACAGAGCGCTAGCTGCAGGTACCTGAAGCAACATCGTGACCATGCCCTCTGGGCTGGCGTCTGCCTTCCGAGGAGCTGGTAAGACGGGCGGGTTTGCAGGTTTCGGTCCAGGCATTTCCACCCTCAGCCTCTCCCCTTCTGTGGGGCTTCCACCTAAAGCTGCAGAGAGAACCCTTCATCTCAGCAGTGCCAACAGCCCCGGGGAGGCTAAGAGGGTCACACAGGAAGGCTACACAGGTGGGCTCTGAAAATTTATGGATGTGAGGCCAGAGAGAAGGAATCCCATAGTTTTCAAAGCCCTTGCAGTGTGTCCTATACACCCCCCAAAGGTTTCCCCTCCAGTGGCTACTCCAGAGAGCACAACACAGCGCCAATAGGCAGTCTGTCTGCAAACCTGCAGAAAACCAAGGCTTCCCCTAGTGGCAACCAGCTCAGAGAAGTCTGGGAGTGGCTTCTCCAACACATGGCACTGGTTGCTTGGGCAGTAAAGAAATGGTGAGGACTCAGTGTTCAAGCTCACGCTTGACCTTCTCTGAAGGAGAGAGACTAGGGACAGCAGCTATCCGGCACCAAAGTCATCTGTGTGCCACAGTCAGGAGGTTGCTCACGGTCCCTCTTCCCACCCCTCCGCACTTCCTGCCACCCTGTGGCCAGACATGCCTCCTGGAGCTGTCGTCACACGGACTGTGACTGCATCTGCCCTTAGCCCAAGGAGCCTCAGGCGCGCCTGGTGTTTCTGGTACCTTTCCACCGGTTGGTCAAGTGGGTGTAGTACAGGAATGCACACAGAACCAGAAAGGCCAACAGGAAGAGAATCACGTTCCGCTGTAATCTCGACAGCTGCTTCCATTTCTAGGGAGGGCAGAGAATGACATTTCTTACTGAAACGTGGCAGTACCGACCCTCTTCCACTGTCACAGACTCAGGGAGACCAGCAAGTTCTTCAGAGAGGCCCCAGGTCGGTTGCATCTGTTCTGCGTTCGGGAAAGCTCAGGGCCGGCCGGGTTTGCCCTGCTGGACAGCACCGCAGGGCAGGCCTCGCGGCTCCAGGGCACTAACAGTGCAAAGCACGCGGAGCCTTTCTGCCCCGGTCGCCCGGACGTTGCAAAACGACTCCTTCGATGCCTGGGATCCGGCCCTACTGTGCCTACGCGACCTTCAGTACGGACGATCACGGACACCCCGCGGAGGCTAAGTGGCTGTACTGAAGGCCTCAGGCTACCGCGCCGGGGTCGGGGCGGCGCCAGAGCCCCCCGAGGCCTGTGCAGGCCCGCGCCCCGCGCAGTGCCCGCTCCCGGAGGACGCCGCGGCACCACTCCGCCTCACCCTCCAACACGAGCGCCGCCGCCGGCTCTTGCTGTTGTCGTAGCTCTCGCCTAGGCTCAGCGTCACCGAGATGAAGTCCCGGTGAGGCGCCGGCGGCGGCGGGGGGTACATGGCGACGCTGCCGGCCTTCGAGAGCGCGCTCGCTTGCGGCCTCAGGAAGCCCGAGCCCGAAGCGCGCAGGGGACGGCCATCGCTGCCGGGCCCACACCCCGCCCATGGCCCCGCACCGCGCGCGCGCCCTGCCTTCGGGTAGCCCGCGCACGCGCCCTGCCGCCGCGGCCCTCGGAGCGTGCGCCCTGCTCCCGGCCGCGCAGTGCGCACGTCTCTTGCGCACGTCGTCTACGCGCTGGCGTCGCCGCTGCGGCTGACGTGGTTTTGTTTGCGTCCGGGTTCCGCAGAGCGTGCCGCGCCGCCCCAGCGCTTCCGGGCGAGTCTGCCCTTCTGCCGCGCGCCGACTCCGGGGCCGGCGGCGGCGCGCGTCTGTGCTCTTGCGCGCCAGGAGCACGCGAGGCCGCACGCGATGGACCGGGTTTCCGGGCGGGCGAGGCTCCTGCGCGGCCCACGCGGAAATCAGTCTCAAGACTCGAGTCTTGTGCACCCCGAGACCCTGGCGCGGGCGCCCACGCGCTCGTCCTGTGCCCGCCCTGCCGTGCGCGCCCAAGCCCCGCAGACCGGCCGCGTCCCGCTTGGTGTCTGCTTCCAGGCACCTCCCGGCGAAGCCCGCACACGCTGCCCCCGCGGCCCCAGCGACAGGCCCTCCCTGGCACCCGAGGCGCGCGCGCTGGCCCGCGGCTCCGACCCCACGCCGCGATGGAGCTGAGCACGAGGGCTTTCCCGGGCCCGCCGGTGGCCCGCGTCCTCGCCATCCGTGCCCCTCAGCCCCTGCCCCTGCCGCGGAGGCCAGTCCCAGCATTTGGGAGACTGAGGCAGGAGGATCGCCGTGAGCTCAGAGCCAACCGCGGCTGTGTAGAGTTCCAGGAGAGCCTAAACTCCGTGGTGGTACCCTGGCTCCAGAAACTATTGAGCCAGGTGGAGCAGTGTGCGTCTAATCTTAACCACTCGAGGCTGAGGCAGAAAGATCAATGCAAGTTGGAGGCCAGCCTGAATTGTAGAGTAAGACCCTGGCTGGAAAAAAAATTCACTGTCAGAAAATACTGTTACGACTTTGGAAGACAAAGCAGTGGAAGTTTCTGAGACCCCGGAGCCGCAAACAGGAAAACGTCGGAGTCCATCCCAGCGTTTCTCAGCCCCCAGCCCCCAGCTGGCCCCGACACTTAGCGCAGGCAGGCGTTGATTCTGGGAAGCTGGGGAGGGTCCTGCGTTTTCTACCTCTCCCAGGGAGCCACTCATGCGGTGGTATTGGGGGTCCCAGGGAATGGGTTAGAGCTTGTACAGAGGAAAGCTTTGCAGGTGAGGTAGTGCACATCTGTAATCCCAGTACACAGGAAGCTGAGGCAGGCGGATCACCAAGCGTTTGAGGCCAGCCTGGGCTGCATGGTGAGGCTCTAAATCCAAAATATTGCTTTTCAAGTGGCTTGAGCCATATTGTAAGGGTTATGACCCTGTTAAGGATTCAGTATCAAAAACCCAAGAGAAAGTTGCAAGAGTAAGCAAAGTGACTCCGTTAAACTCTTGGGGACGTTCCCAAGGATCTGAACATCTCTTGCAGCACTGTGCAGAGCATTGTAGCGACGGGCCAACGAGAGGGAAACACGTGCGCACCCAGCCACGGGAGTTAGGGCAGCAGGACAGTGCTGGTGGAGCAGGGCAGTGTTGCCTTTTTGGTTAGCTCTAGCCGCTGTCCCGTTAGGGCTGAAGAAGGCGTAGGGAGAAAATTTGGATGCCTGCCGCCTGGGAGTAGCTCTGACGGAGCCTGTGTGCGGGACTTCGGAGCTCTGCGAGAGACGGGGGTTCCTCGTCTGTATGGCTACAGGAAATACCTAAGCAGCTTAGTCCAGTCTGGGGGGAGCACCCTGGACCTGGCTTCCCAAAACGGGGACCAAAAGGCGCATCTGTGAGCGTGCGTGCTGTTAAATTTGTAAGTGTCCGTGATACCGTAAGTTGTGCTCAGGATTTAAAGGACGAGAAGTGGATCAGGCATCCAGGGCAGCAGTGTGGGTCTGGTGGGGTGCTCAGCCAGGTCTGCTGTACTGGGGCTGCATGTCTAGCACCTTGAGATTTTTTTTCATTCACCTGTATGCCAGTCACATACAACTCATTTTCCAGAAATTTTAAATACAGATGTTCTATATTAAGTAAAAAAAAAAGTCCTGGGAGGGAGGAGCACATAGTCCTGGGCATCTCGCCGGGTTCCAGAGAGCAGAGGGCAAGCATCCCAAGAGGAGTGGCTGGCCCCGGCCCCCCAGGCTTCGCAGGTGCATGTCACCAGTGATGGGCAGTGCGGCTGGCTCTCTTGTGTCTTTCAAAATGACAATTAAAGCACACACCTAATAAGATAACTAAATACAAGAACCATTCT